CAGCCGCAAACTCAAATGCTTTGGATGCATGAAAATTTCGCTTTACCGATGGCCAAGATATTTAAAAAAACGAGCGATTTTTGCTATCTTTAAATTGACATTAATCCTCTTAAATGCTTCAGGTCATCATACTCATCGATGACATCGGAGCCTTTTTGAGGGGTAATTGTCCATGGGAGCTTCGTGAGTCTCGCTGCGCCCTCTTCGAGGCAGTTCTCCGTGCCGTATTTAAAATTTACAAGGGGGACGAGAAACGTCTCACCATCATTTACGGTCACGACTTCAAATGTGGGGGGTATGTTCCTTTGCGGTTTCGTCTAATTTGAATGCATTAGCCAACCGTCGTAGGAAGCTACGTTCATCGGCCGTCCTTATTCCACTCTAGAATTGTAATATGGTTTATAAGACGTGCGTAAGAATATATCATAGTGCTACAAGGGCTTATTTGCAGACACCTATTAATACGCACTTCGTTTTCACAGTGACACTTCTCTTTAGGTCCTACATGCTAGACCTTTACCGATTGGTAAGCCTGGTACCTGAGAAGGAGGCATTGGCCTGCAGTGGAGCCACAATGCCTCCATCGGAGCAGCAGGACCATGTAGGTGATGCTGAAGGAGAGGAGGAAGGTTGTGGGCTCAATCTCTCTGCCCTTCTGCTCCCTTGCACTACTCTCCTTGACTCCTACCACCTTGAGGTAGATTTGCGTCTCGCTAGTCTGCGCTCCGTCGAAGGGCAGAAGCGATTTGCGAAAGAGGTTCGTGTTTTGTGGTCGTCCTGAGTACTTTTAAATGTTGTTGAGCAATTGAATCTCTCCATTGAAATCAAATAACATATTGTCTACTAAAGGACTGCTCCGAACACGCATTTCATCTTAGGACTGGCTCTTGAACATACGGTAGTGATTAGCCAGCGTCAAGGTCTGAAGAAACTTGCAACGTAGCTTCCAAGTTCATGCCAGGCTTTTAGGTGAATCAAGGGCGATGTATTTTCCCCTCCAGTGGCTCCGGTCTCATGATGCTGA